TTATTGAACAAGTTATTTTCTTTATATTCTAATACAAACTGAAAGTAATCACCAAATTTTCTAGATAACATTCTATACTGAGTTAATAAAGTGGCATTTATGGTTACGGCATTAATGATTTATGATATTTTTAATGAATTATCACATAAAACCTAGCTCTTATCTCATGGAGACCAATTTTTAACCAATCCGGTTTCCGCGACGATGACAAGCAACGTTGGCAGTAGCGCCATGGTGCGGTTGCCAGCAAAACTAAAAAATGGAACAAATTTCGATCGCCTGAATCAAAAATGGTACAAATTTGTGCCACCCAACATAAACAGTGACAACCATAATGAAGTTGCTGCGTTGACCAGCTGTCATTGTCGTCGTGCTTTGAGCGAAATATCAGAAGAATGTTATTAAAAGCTTTGTCTTTTTTATTTCTGGAAACGTGAGAAATCTAACGAAATTTTCTTCGTGATCTGTTCTCACTATTTTACGAATCTAAAAATCTATTCAACTATACTATTTGTTTCACTAACTTTGTCCACAAAAGCCTTTTGCCAAAAGGTTGTGGCTGCTCCATACATGCGCGACCATACGTCCTCAAGGGAAAATTTTAAGGGGGGGTAATTGAAAAAAATCGAGAGGGGTAAGCAAAAAAGTGAAGTGTATTTTGCGAAAAGTGTACTTTTTTCGTTTTTTTTTTTTTGCTCCTCACTTTTTCGGCGAAAATCCGTAGCAAATATAAAGAATTTTTCTTACATTGAAAACAAAAGTGAGGAGCAAAAAAAAAAAAAGGTCCTCACTTTTTTGGCGAAAATCCCTAGCAAATTGAAAGAATTCTTTGAAAATTTTGAAGGGGTAACACTTCGTCAGGGGGGAGGTAATCGGACCCCTCGGACCCCTGCTGAGGACGTATGTGCGCGACAAGAGCAAAAATACCCATCACTTTTACTAGCGCCATCCCATCGGTAGGATTTTGCACTAACCATTCTTAGGCGCTGTGTATAAAAAGGCCTTGATAGTTTTTTTGAAGTTGGGTCTCATGTTTGTTAAATCCTTTAGATGTTGAATTTTTATAAATTTATATATACCATATCAATTATTTTAAAGTCGAGCAGGCCAATTTCTGGAAATTTCAGCATCGCCGTCAAATAGTCTTGTATTCACTAATTTGATTGAACAAACAATTCAAAAATTATTAACCATTTCTTTATCTTTTGTTGACAGCAACATAACAAAATTTAAAGCACATTCACATCCACTGAACAATCTGTTCAAACAAAAGAAAACTACAACTAGAAGTGATAATTGGACACAAAAAAATTAAAACTAAAATTGTATAGCCACAATACCAAAGCAGTCCAATTAAATTGTATGCATTTAAACACATTTATTATTATATTACACTGCATCACATCAATATTTGTGATAGAAACATCGTTTTGTATGTAACAAACTGATTTCTTCTGAGCATAATAAGAAGAATAGAACACAAGAATTTGTCAAGTCGAAATGATGACATTTCATTTGTATGTACAGAGAATACGACCGAAGTGTACACAAATACCAAGGTGAATTTTTCGAATACATTGAAAACTTGACATGAAAGAAAGAGGGAAGTATCAATGTTTTCCCATTGAGAGTATAGGAGAGAGAGCGATAGATGCAAATGTTGGTGTATGTGGTCAAAATTACGCCGCTTATGTAAAATATGCGAATATATGTCTATGAAAATTGTTTCCTGTTTTTATGAAACGGCATTGCGTTGTATGATTTAATACTGAAATAGTGGCCACTATAGTAGACGAAATATTCGGATCCTACCGATTCAAATAACAACTTGGACATTACGTACTGTGTACGAATTATGCAAAAAAAATCGACTATCATTCTTTCACTATACAATTATATTCTATTCGAAAAGTCAATTGTTGATCATCAAATAGATGGCCTATTTCCATATCATTTTAATTCCTGTCCATGCTCTTTTTATCAAGCGGTGTAACATTTTTTTAATACGATAACATTTTAATACGAATATAGTCAATCAAATAAATTTAGTCGTACAAGAATGCGGCTAGTACTTAAAAATGATGAACAGGGATAAGTATTTATTTATAAAACAGCTAAATGTATTGGCAATTACGACTTTTCCTGAACACACAAACTGTGAATAATCCGGAAACAATAATCCGGAAACACATATATTTTGCTTAAAATTTGGTTTGATTATGGAAAATTCATTATCGTGTGGACTTACTTTAACCAAGAAACAGTAATACATTGTCATAAAGATTTTCATATTCGTAACAAATTAAATAGCTAAAGCAAGAAATTCAACCAATATGTGATTTTGTTCATGCATGACGTCCATATTATCTAACTATTAAAATCAAAAGTTTTTCATTTGAATGAGCTGCCAACACAAGCGATAATGATTTTTTAGTGCGTTTGTTAGTGAATCATTTAATTTACGATCAACTCGATTGCAGAGAAAAATATGAGAGAAATTTGCAATAAATCACAATGCACGTGTTTCACATTTATTCACAGAAAGTAAAGCATGAGCTGCGTTAAGCGTCTGATGATGAAATGGAAATGTTGAAGGAGAAATATAATGTATAACTATCAGATAGCATTCACATTGACTGGTGAATCAAATTAAATAAAATTGGAGTTTGTGTTTCGGCGAATTATACTAAGCATGGTTTCCAGATTAGTTTAACTATTTACTTGTGCCTCCATTCTATTTGGGCTTGATGATTTTGATCAGGTTCGTGCATTTGGTGAATACCAAAAACTGTTATCGTGTGCGCCATTCAATTTCATGTGAATCAGCTTTCTGCTTTGATTTTATGTTTGTTATATTTTCTTAAACTGATTCAATTTTTTATCTAATTTCACTTTTTTAGTTATTATTTTTTCAAATTGCTACAAAAATTTGTATAAAAAGACCATAGCCACAAACCACATACTTTTTGACGTCGTCCAGTTTTACTCATTTCATTTTATACCTCGTATAAGCTCATTATCGAAATTTTTGCATAATTATTTCAAAGTTTTTGTTGAGAAATTGGCTATTGGTTTACAATCGGATAGATCATCAACTGCACTAAAGCTGTAGCTTTTTAGCGTAACATAGCCGCTTTCAGCATTCCAATAACAAACATTTAATATTGAAGTAAACACTGATTGCTTTGTGACAAAATCGATTTTTTACTTGCATTTGTGCTTATTTCGTATATCACCATTATTTGTAACATTTTTTTAATCACATAACATCACTAAACTCAGTCGTAATTTGATTTTGTTGATTTTGCACCATGTCAATTAATTGGACAACACTAAAAATCAAAGTGCATTACAATCGATCGCATTTCAAACCATTTTTAATTTCACATATAATGTTCCTAATATATTGTTTACTGTCACTGTTTTAGTTTCGAATGAAAAAAAGTGAAGATGATTATTTAAACGGATACCAGTGTGTAGTTTCAGTATAACAAACGATTGACCAATGTGAATGCATAAATTACGTAGATAATGAAATAGAAAATCACGATTTACATACACTTGCAGCACGTCTGCGCAACTGTGAATAACACAGCACACTGTTTAATTGATTCAGTAGTTTGACTGCTGCTAGTTTCGCTTAATCACAAATTTTTCCTCGCACTTACAACGATGCTATTAACATTATAGTTGTAGTTGCTGAATTCACTCTCATGTTCATGCGTATATGTCTGTCTTCATTTAATTTAATCAAATCATGGCATCGGATGACATCTTAGTTGTTCGGAACACAGACCGATCGGACCACAAGACTGAAATAAAAAATATCATAATTGCAAAATTTATTTGGTTTGGTTCAGCTTGAAATGTAGATGGTTTCTGACAAAATGATTCAAGTTGCTCTTTATGCTTAAAATATGTAATTGCTTCTTGCCGTACGTTTAAGCCTAACATTATTCTAAAACGAATGAAAATTTCCTTTTTCATAGAAGTTTGTTAGTCGATTTATAGCAACGAATAATTTTCAAATTGAAGCATAATATTTTTCCTTGATTTTAATTATTTTTATCCACAGATCGGGAAATCTCAAGCATCACTAAAGGTCGTCATTTTGGTATTGCGTGAATCCCGATAGTTCATTCATTATCATAAGCAACGTGTTGTTGTTGTTCTCTAATATTTACGCTCTACTACAAAAAAATTATTTTGGTGTATTTCAATGATTTTTGGTGTTGCAAATAGGTAATTTATGCTCATAGGTAATTAGTCTTTTCTCTTGAGACTTTCGAATACTTACGAAATCAAGTAACTTAGCTATTTGATATGATTGAAGAAATAAAAAACAATACTGAGTCATGAGTATCTTGTCAAAAGCCATCTCTTGAAAATATTGTAAATACTATCGACACATTTTGATCGGCAAAACATACTTTCGTTTAATTGATTTCATAAAACGAATACATTAGTTAATTTGAATCGAAAGGTGTGAAGGGAAAGTAATAAAAACTATCAATATATGAGATCAACTGATGAGTTATCATGATGAATAATTCAATTCACCATTATGTCCGCTAGATGTCATAAGGATTTATCAGTGCATGATTTTGACACAAGAAATGTGTTCTGTTCATATTTAATGTAATTAATTTTAATTTTTCTTTATTTTCTACCTTTTCCCTAGTATTTTCCTGATTTTATATTATTAATTTAAAAAAAAAAAAAATAATTCAATTATTTTCACACATCGGGCATCTAACGGAAAAAATTTCACAGTGAACTGAACTACACCATGTTGATTGAGAGTGTATTTGAAATGTGAATATGAAAAGAGAGGGAAAATCTTAATGCGTTTTAAATGTTCAATAAGGTTTGCTGCGACTTAAAAGTACAACGTTCAAATAGTGCGTTCCTGCTTATGCTTATATACCTTCAAGCGCATGACATACATATAGTTGTCTCATTTCACCATTCGAACTGGTCCTACATTCACTTTTTATTCTTTGTATCGCATTAAACGAGTAAAGTCCCTGCTGATGTGAGGTTGTGTGTATATTGCTAAACTTTTAGCACAACAAATCTCACATTTTGTGAATAAAAAAAATAAAAAAAATAAAAAAAATAAAAAAAATTAAAAATCCTTTAAAAAAGTTGTAACACAAAAAAATCGAAAAATAGTAGTTTAAAAATCATACATAAAAAAACATCGTGTGTGTCTGTGTACTATTTTGAAGGGGAAAACGTACGTGCAATATTAAGATTATTACTTTTTAGATCGTTAAGTAAAATTAAGACACATTTTATTATTGGAGTAAAACCAGGTTTGACGTTATGGCAGCTTTAATTTTAAATGTTTTCGTGTGTATCGTGTAACACATTTTCAGCATGATTCATGCCATGAAGCTAATGACATATTTTTCTAACATTTTTTGTATCGGTGTATCTCACAATCTTTCCTTTGCATATCATACCGTAATGGTCATAATAAAATCTTAGCTGGACTCCAATAAATTATGCTTAAAACAACTAAAATGACCAGCTTATAGGCAAATTAATCGTTTGTTAAATTTCGAATATTTAATTGTTCTTTTTCAATTTTCTCTATAAATTTTTGGTGTGACTTCCGCCGCCGCTGTCATTTGGCTCGTTGATAAATTTTGTTGTGGATTTGGCGCGTGTGAAAGCAGCAAAATAAAAAAGGAAATCACAATGGCGTCACTTTATGTAGGCGATTTGCACGCGGATGTCACTGAAGCAATTCTTTTTGAAAAATTTTCGACGGCTGGACCAGTTTTGTCGATTCGCGTTTGTCGCGATGTTATTACTCGTCGTTCCCTTGGATATGCATATGTTAATTTCCAACAACCGGCTGATGGTGAGTGTAATCATTAGTTTATACTATGTCTCCCAAAATTGAAATGAAAATTCGCCCTGAGAAAAATCATCAGCGTATTAGCCAAGTAATCTATTCCGCCGTTGCAATATAATAATGGATAGCCATGTGGTGTGTTAATTTTTTACATTTTTTCATTCTTGAATAATACAAAAAAAAATATCTTTAAAAAAATTAAAATATAACATTTTAATTTCAAAACTTGATGTATTTTCAAAATATAGCATAAATATTCTGTATCGCAATTTCATAATATCGAACTTCAATGTAATCCTCCGTTTGTCATTCATTTTGAACACGTGTACTATTTCTTATGCCATTCGTTCTGCGCCCTATAAAGCAATATTCCGACGTTTTCTTTCGGTTAAAATATAGAGCCGCCATCTTTTATTTTCATATCGGTCTTATACGTGTGTGCTCACTCACTCACACTCACTACACACACAACACTGACGCATGATTCGGTATGAAAACTAGAAGTAAAGCAAATAACCATATGATTCATTCGTTGATTTTGTGTTTACAAAGACATCTGTTGTGAGCGAAAAACAAATTCCATATGGAATATTTTTCAATCATGTTTTTTTTTCAATCAACGAAATTATGAATTGCTATTGACGATTATTCATATCATGAGAAACACAATGAAACAACGGTTTTAAGATATGACAAAAATAAAAACAAGAATTGAACAACCGATCTGACTTTAAGTAATCTAAAATGCGATTACCAAGTAATCTAAAGCGCTTTAGAAGGAATGTTTATTTGAAACGATTATTATAAATTAAAGTGTTATTTCATAGCATAGTTTTATTTGTTTCTGCATTTTTCAAAAAATTTGTATCTTTTCAACATTCCTGGCTCGATCTTCTTTAGCTAGAATGACTAAAAATGACCCACCAAAATCAACAATAACATCTTATTCAGTTAGTCATTATTAATTGTCACAACATCTAACAATGAGTTTATCTAAAAATGTGCAACTAATCTGGTAAATTTAAATTTGTTTTTAAAAAACGACAAAACTTCTTTATCCGCAAAGTCCATCAAATATCAAAGATTTTGAAATAAAACACAGTTTGTTTTAAGTATATTGCACCTTTATGACTTTGCCAATTTAATTTCAAGAATTCTATTCAAATAAATAACAATAATTGAAACAATGGTTCGGATGCATTTCGACAATGTGTCATCCTCAGCGAGTACATTCAAACTAAGCAAAAGCATTTTTATTAAAGTTTCGTAAGGTAGAGAGTGGAATGAGAAATGTGACAAAATTATAACGAATACTAAAATGCTATTTGAAAAAACGTTTGACTGATTTAAATAGCGGTGATCTGATCGGAGCGTCCATCGTGTTCATTGACACGCTACGGTTCAAGTACATATAGATGCTCTCGTAAGCATCAAGTTTGTATGCATCATTTACTTGTTTTTTCAATTTGACGTTGTTCATGTCCCAGTTCATATGATTGTTCTCTAGTGCGTGTAGTGCTATAGCTGATTTTGTTGCTTGGTGTTTGTGTATGCTAGTCAAATGTTCTTTGAAACGTATCTCAACATTTCTCTTCGTTTGCCCAATGTATTTGTCTCCACACTCACTACATGTAATTTCATATATTCCCGATTTTTGTTTAAATTCCGATTTGTCTTTCAAACTCACCAACATATTTTGCAACTTGCTATTACTATTATGTACAATATCAAGATTGTGTGTTTTAAAGACCTTCTTTAATTTGTTTGTTATTTCGGGGATGTATGGCATAGTTATGCGTTTACGCTGTTCCTTTTCAACTGAAAGAGTTGTCAAGTTACGTTTGGAAACTTTCTTCGCATGCAATCAAATCAGGTTGTCCACCATCAGCTCTGAGTAACCATTCAAAAGGGCAGCGTATTTGAGTAACCATTCAAACATGCTATTTTCTCTATCTCCACACAGCTCCGTGTAAGTCCACGTTTTAACCACTTGAGTCTGATTTTTTTTTCAACCAACCATTGTGCGGTAATAAGTGGAAATAGCATCGGAAGTACCAACATTAAAATACACACTAACTTTCAAGGCTATCTCGTTATACGAAAAACTTCCAAACTCCTTTAACTATATGATTCGCTATATGAGCGCGCTTATTCTTTCAATATTATATATGTAAAGTCAATAAATTAATTTTATATGTCAAGCTTCAAGGATTTTTCATGGTAGAGGAAGATGATTAGGTTGATTACAATTGAATTATTGACAACAAAACATGAGTTAATTATATTGCTTTGTTCCTCACATCTAACCAAAGATGATGTATTGTGATATACTCACCGAACTCGTGTAAGAGTCTTACAGTAAGACGCTTGCAGACATTCGCAAAACTTACATTATCATTACGTCAATAATATTATTTCACTGTGGTTTATGTTCGAAATACGCTGCTACTGGTTTCAGTGAATTTTTTTGTTTTGATTTGGATGAAAACTTTGATTTCAATTTAGTTATGGTTCTTCATTGCTGCTATTATTTGATTATAACCAAATCAATCAATTAACGTTTAGTTTGTTTTTTAAATGCATAGTACAAATAATTTCGCGGGACACGCAAAATTCGATAGACTCATAGATTAAAATTCGTTACAATGTTATTTTAACTGGTAATAAATGTAGTATGATTTTTGAATACACATTATAAAGGTCTACCGTTCAAACTATCCTGAGCATTTTTAAATGTAAATGTGAAAAGTATTTAAATGAAAAGTAAAACGATTAATATAACCATTAACAAAAAGAGCGTAAGCAGATAAATAATCCATTGAACTGGTGCTCGTTGTCACTTTTCATGGCCATCTCATTTTAATCATCTCGAAAAAATTGTGATAACTGAAAGTACATATTTTACGTTTTTTCAATGAATTATCTCAATATCATATATTTAATCTGGCCGAGTAATGTGATAATCCTTTTAACTCATTGATGGTATATATTTCAACATTAAAATGTCCATACGTATATTGTGTAAGAGACTAAGTATACCTCAGCCTTAATATAAAATCAATGAAATCAAGGAAATTGTCTGAGATTTGGTAATATTTACTTGGAATTTTGTGCGATTACAAAGAAGCCGGATATCACACTCTCAAAGCTAGTTTTAATAAAAATTCAGATTTTATCATAATTTCGCTTCCGACCATTTGGAAGTTTGTTAACGGAACTAAAAAATTTTCATCGATAAGAGAACAAAAAGGCTGAAAATGGCAAAAGACACAATTCCGTTTGAAACTAGTTTATTCTTTGGAAACTAAACTACCAAAGCAACATCGGATAAAATAAAACAATATTTATTAATAAATATTTTGAACACATGTTTTGATATAGAATTGCCCTATTTTCATGCCAGAAATATTATTCTAATATTGAACTGAAATTATATATCTGTAGAGTACGGTGGGTCAATTTGTAGGGGGCCGAAAAACCTTCATGTGCACATCGCGATTCTGGTTCTATGGATCATTACAAGCATTTTAGCAGTGTTGAGTCACTATAGAGATGTTTATCCACCAAGTGAAATATCTATTAGATCAGTGAGGTTAGATGAGTAGCGAAAAACTATCGAAAAATTTGGGGGAATGAAATGGGTAATAACCTATTTTATTTCGATTTTAAATGATATGTGCCACCTTTATATTGAGTATGTTAAAATGATTCTGATATTTATTTAATTTTGAATCAGACCATATACTGAGCATAGATATTTATCCGGGATATTTTGTGAGTATCCGATAATTACCGCAACACTCCATGCATTATTGCTCCTTCTGAACGAAGTGTGTGCAAGACTTGAATCGACGTGTATGACTTAAACACAGTTCGTTTGAAGGAGTAATAATGCACAGATCGACGTTCAATTAGGGTGTTTCCCATATCTGTAAATAGAAAAATGGTATTTATTAATTTAAAGTAGGCAAAATTCTATGGTAGTTAATGGCATTTATACAACGAAGCGATTGATGTTAGCACTTCCCGAAGCAAAAAACTCTTTTCAAAATCTAATGATACTTACAATGGAAAAACGCTCCGTTTGTACTCCCGCACAGCCATCTCAACCAAATGGGACATGACTTTTTTTGTGCATAACTAACCCACATATTCGGAATAGCAGATATGTAACAAATGTTACTTATGATTTATTTTGTTTTATTGTATGGTATTGTGATGATTAGTTGGCTGCTATTCGAATTCGTCCACATATGTCCACGTCGTTATCGTCGTCGAAGACGGCGGCATCGGCGTTGATTTGATTCCAATATCGGTTGATTGCAGCAGGTATTGGAAGTCCAAGCAATGTCCATAGTCCTGTGTCCAATCAATCGAAAAAATGAATCTTTTTTTGCGATCATTCAATCACATTGTGTATCAATATCCTTACCTTTCAGTAGAATGTTCTTAGCAGCCACGACGTCACGATGCCAAGTCACGGTGCATTCGAGGTCTAATTGCCATTTTTTGTAGTAAGGTTTTACTCTTGACATTAGCTCCTCTTCTATTTCAAATGCTCCGTTCAATGTGCGTTGTAACTGTCGATATGTAGATGTATCTGTCTTGCCAAACTTAGACACAATTTTGGTTGGCAGCAGTGTTATGGCGTTGGGTATGCACCGACACATCTTAAATTTGGCTGATTTGGGTTGGTTTTGGAATCGGCACATACATCTTGCGTCTGTTTGAGATGTTCCCCATTCGTCCACCGGCACGACAATTATTTATTTATTTATTTATTACCAATCCTAAATTTATATTTTTTATTTATTACCAATCCTAAATTTATACCATTGTGTGAGTCTAGTGAACTAGACACATGCTGGCTATGTGCCCAATAAGGTATAAATTCCGCCCATGGTGCGACTTTCAAAAAGAGATACAATATAGGGGAGGGAGGGTATTTACGAGTTACTATAAATACCGATATTGGATCCGGAAAACCATGGCAAAACCGGTCTAATTCAGGAGAATTAGAGGAA